GCATTTGTCTCATATTAAAATAATTGGTAAGAATTATTTTATTTTATTTTAATAATTTACTAAATTTACCACAGCTAGTTTTGCGTTGGGTAAAAAAAATGTAAATTTTTATATTTTTTTCACATTAGTGTTTATTGTGAAGCTGGTCTTAAATTTCCTTTCAAGTGGTGTTAAAAAGTCTTTAACTTGCTTTAAGCTGTAGGAGCCCTGATCAATGATCTGTTAACTTTAAGGTCACAAAATAAAACTGAAGGTCATGTTAAAGTTAATTTTTCAACCTTTTGTCTAAATATCAGCTTCATTCTGCTGTTTCTTTTAATTTTTTCTGCATTTTCAGCTACCGGTAATCATTAACTTTTTCTTGCTAAATTCAGCTAAAAGGCATGTTTTTTATTTTTTATTTTTTTTTGTATTTTTTTTTCAGCTTAACTTTGCAAAAATGCTCCTTCAGTTTCTTTTTGCCAATTTCAACTATTTTAGTTATTCATCTATTTTCAGCTAATTAAAAAAAATCAGCTAAATTCACCTTTTTGTGATAATTTTTAGCCTTTGAACGACCTCTAACTCACARGTTAATAATTTTTCAGCTGTTTTATGTTTTTGTAGTGTGAAACGTTTTGAGTATCCTGGTTGGGTYCACAAGTACAGTCCATTTACCATTTATACTTTGTTAATAAATGAACCATTTTTGCTTCTTGCTTATTTTTTCTGGTAGTTTCAGCTTGACTTTAAGCTACATTTTTGGAAGTTTTTACTATTTTCAGCAGACTTGGTTTTCATTTCTGCTCTGTTCGGCTGTTTTGACACATTTTTGCTGTTTTTTTTTTTTTAGTTTTTCTGCTTTCAGCAAAACTCAGCTGTTTTAAATTTCACTGTTTTTGTCTTTAAACGTTTTCAGCTTCTTCATCAAGTCTTTCAGCTGTAAACATTCACGCTGCTCTTTCACAGGAAGTGTAAACTGTTTTCCCGCCTCAGGGTCCAGACCTGGACGTGTGGAAGTCGATGTACGAAGACGTCCCGGAGCCGCTGTCCGACGCTGAGAGGAAGAACTGGATCAGTTCCCTGCAGGGCGTGGCCGTCAGCTCCGACGCCTTCTTCCCCTTCAGAGATAACATCGATCGGGCCAAACGGGTAACTGACACAGAACGTCCAGGACCACCGGACCCGGATCCACTCTGACCGTCTCTTTGTGTTCCTTCAGAGCGGCGTTGAATTCATCGCGGCTCCGGCCGGCTCTGCTGCTGATGAGGTGGTGATTAAAGCCTGCAACGAGCTGGGCATCACTCTGGTCCACACCAGCCTGAGACTCTTCCATCACTGAGCAGCACTCAGGTTCTGACCCGACATTCCCTCTGTAACACTTCACATCCATTCCTGACACGATGGAGCATTAAAGCTGCTGAAGAGTTCATTTGGTTTGTTTTTATTCAGTCGACCCATTAATTCACCTTCATCCCCCCATATTTTACATTTAACCAAAATACAACAAATATTAACAAGCTAACCTCTAATAAATTAAGCTAACTCTAGTAAACTCACAGATTAACTCTAGTAAAACCTTGAGCAGTGTCTGRGGAGATTCACTAAAGTAAAATCTCTCAAAACTACAAGTTAAAATTAAAATATATATTTTTAAATGATTTAAGTAAAAGCTTGTTCTATATTTGCAATATAAAACGTTAAAACTTTTAAAACACAGTGACAATACACAATCAGGATCTCTCCAGCTTTATTAAAATAAGGCACTTCTTTTTGTCAACAACGTACAAAAATAAAACGGCTCAAACTCTCATCCTGATTCAGACACTCAGAGGTTAAATTATTAGGGAAACCTTTCAGCCAATAAAAGGTTACGGAACAGAAAATCAAAGAACAGAATGACATTTTTAATTTCTGATGAACATGTTAATAGAAAACAAATTAATCTGTATAAATTGGACCGTAACAAATCCTAAGTACCATAATTTCAYGGTAAAAAGTGATGAGTCTTGAAAAGTTGAAACAACAGTGAACAGACTGGTAGAGAGAAACCATCGAGATGAACAGCAGGCTGGTAAAATAAAATAAACGAGTCAGGAAGTGAGCGAGAGCGCACACTTGTTCCCACAGACGGCGTGGCTTCCATAAGGTGAGACAGTGCAGCGGCGGGACGGCCAGGGAGCGGCCCATCCCTTATTTCTTAGTTTGGGTAGCGATGCCATCGGCCAGCAGGCCCGGTCGGAGGCACTCGATGGGGCAGTTGATGTGCTGAGGGGAGAAAAACAAGAACTGAAGTCTCTGTTAAATAAAATTATTTTATGACAGAAATGGTTTGTTCTTTATTCCACTCACTTTTCTCAGCGTGTTTTCTCCGTATCTGATGGGCTGGAAAAGACCGGGATCCACATCAGAGCCCGGTTTGTGGCAGTTATCGCATCGCCACCCCTGGTGCAACAAAACAGACAAAAATTACCTTAAAATATAGTCTGAAAACTGTTTTTAAAGTTAGGTTCTGWGGAAAAGTTACAGTTATGTAGAATAGCTTAAGCTAAAGTCTGAAGGATGCAAGTTTGTAGTTTTGTTGGGAGTTAGCATCTGTTAGGAGTTAACTTGTCGCTTTGCTGGGAGTTAAACTTGTCGCTTTGCTGGGAGTTAAACTTGTCGCTTTGCTGGGAGTTAAATTGTCGCTTTGCTGGGAGTTAACTCGTCGGTTTGTTGGAAGTTAACTCGTCGGTTTGTTGGGAGTTGGCTCGTCGGTTTGGGAGTTAGCTTGTCGGTTTGTTGGGAGTTAACTTATCGGTTTGTTGGGAGTTGGCTCGTCGGTTTGGGAGTTAACTTGTCGGTTTGTTGGGAGTTAACTTATCGGTTTGTTGGGAGTTGGCTCGTCGGTTTGGGAGTTAACTTGTCGGTTTGTTGGGAGTTAACTTATTGGTTTGTTGGGAGTTAACTTATTGGTTTGTTGGGAGTTGGCTCGTCGGTTTGGGAGTTAACTTGTCGGTTTGTTGGGAGTTAACTTATTGGTTTGTTGGGATTTGGCTCGTCGGTTTGGGAGTTAACTTATCGGTTTGTTGGGAGTTAACTTATTGGTTTGTTGGGAGTTGGCTCGTCGGTTTGTTGGGAGTTGGCTCGTCGGTTTGGGAGTTAACTTATTGGTTTGTTGGGAGTTGGCTCGTCGGTTTGGGAGTTAACTTGTCGCTTTGCTGGGAGTTAAAC